GACAGCGACCTACACAATGCTTGTGTAATATCTGTATTTGGCCGACCGGATTTCTTTTCCCCAGCCTTCGTTTTCGCCTATCGTGCGGTGATCCTGACACTTCGAAACAAGTACAACTTACCTGACGAGCCCGAAACGTGCGCATCGCCCGTTGCTCGTTTCGAACACACGGTTCACGCTGTCTGTAGGATCGTCCGCATGTTAACGTCAAACAAGCCTTTGTTCTCCATTGTCCAACGGGCTTACTCTTACCCTGTGGAGAAGGCGACGCGTGTTTACGCAACGCATGCATGCAATGCCTCAGGCGAAGTGATCTGAGGCTGCAACTGGATGACTGATGTGGAGTAGATGACCAGATGTGGAGAGCACACACGTCAGATCGCAGCATTGTTAGGCCAAGCCGGGGACCAAAGGATAATGTATACAATGTGGTTGGCTGGCAGGTAGGATATGATGCGCGATATGCGGGAGTTTTGTAGAGGGATCTAGGCCGGATTTTGAAAGCTGAATTGTGGAGTTGAGGGCTGTTGGTTGGAGAGGTGTATGTTAGTAACACCTCGAGACCTCATCACGAGGAAGCGCTTATCGCACTAAGTCGCGATACTTGCCAGTAGTGGACCGGGGAGGCTGGCATTCTGCTGGCGAGTGGGTGGTGTTTGTGAAGAGACGAGATATGCAGAAAGCACGCCTTTAGTGTAGACAACGTGCGCATCCCACGCCTGTATCACGATACTCGATCTTGACAAACGCCCGTTCGGCGTCCAGCACGCAACGCGCAAGCAAGCAAAGTGGGTCCATTTGTATCGTCAATCGAAAGCAGGGGGTGCTATGCAAGGCCTGGGCAAACGAACGTGAAACGAACTACGGTAATACAAGACGCATGCCTGCGCAGTCTCAGCCTGTCCGCTTTGACGCGGAGGGCGGCGTTTGAGATTGATGCACGAGTGGCCAAGAGCGGGTTGGAGGGGTTGTGAAGGGTAAGCGCAAGCGAGCCCAGGCGCGGGAGTCGCATGACGAAGATGGAGTGACGGCTGTCATCATGACAGATGTTAAGTATCAAGCGAATTGCAGATGGTAGATATGATCTAGGGCGAGAGGATAGTACTACATGAATTGGAATAAGCATGGTCCGAAAAAGCACATTAGCTCCAACGACTATCGTATTTGCCAAAGCGCACCCTAGAGATGTTCGCCGTGGCCTGTAGCAACGTGCCATCAAAACAAAAGATGGTGTATCTCTTTTGGCCGTGCGACCACACAAAAAGAACAAGCTTCTTCGCAGAGGCCGTATTTTGCATGTCTGCCGTTTTCTGGATAGCCGCTTGTACAAACTCGAGCTAGAAAAATAGAAACAACCACACCTCCATCAAAAACCAACACAAAGACTCACACGCGCAGCAACACGGATCCGCAGACTATCCATATCCAACCCCCGCCACACCGCTCTCGCCGATGAATGCATCCCATGATCCAGATCTGTTTGGATGCAGAGCTGTTGTTGGCCCTCAAGCGTCTTATCTCTATTGCAGCCCCCAGCCAATAGCCGTCGCAGGCACTTGTCTTTGCAGCTGAAGCAGCGCAGACAAGGGGTCCAAGAGTGAGCTCAGGGTGGGCCTGTGAAGATCGTCGTCGCAGCCGGGCAGCGCCTCGACTCCTGCGCTTCGCTCCCACCCGCACGTACGCAACCAAGGAATGCACGGAACGTACCATGACATGGCTTGTGCGTTTGTGTTGGACCCGCTTCGTGCGAAAGAAGACCCCGTTGACGCGGGAAAATCGTGTAGTGAAAGGATCTGTGTTATAGTTGTCTTGGCTTGTAAGCCAATACTTTAACGCACGTTTTCCCACTTGTTCGCGATCTGGATTTTTTGCGGTTGTCTGGCTCTGCTTCTAGCCTCTAACCTTTCCACATCTACGTACCACAGTCCCCGACGTGCTTCCCACCTTACTTCATTTAATTACTCTGTCTTCCCTTTCCTGGCTGGTCCGCCCACGTGTTTGACATACGCTTGTATATGTAATCGAATTTCGGAAAGCATTGAGCCTCGGATTGTTTTATAAGAAGGATGCGTCGCCAACTTCCCCCAAGTCATCTCAAGGTCCCGCCTGGTCCCCATGCCTTTCCAAGACAACACTTTTTGGGTCAGGATACGGTTGTTGTAAACCATTACTCCGGAATTGAAAAGGCCATTCCTGCCATACCGTCTTTACCGGGATTTAGGACAAGTGCTGGTATGTTTGGTTTTATTTTATTTTCTCCGGGAGTGTTGATGGTCGTGTGCTTGGTTGCCGCGACTGGGGTTGTGATGTCAACCATGCAGCAACATAGACGCGCGAGATACTTAGGTACGAATACGAGCTAACGCGCGAACAACAGCATTCTTAACGTCGCTGAGCGCAAATCTCAGAATTGATCCTGATCTGCCCTCGCCGTTGCCAACACCTACGTCGTTTCGATTGAACAACTTCTGCCAAGAGGTTCCTTCCACGTCGCTATCCTACTCAACATTACCCGCGCAGTACAACCCGTACCCCTCGCCTGCCGAGTCTCAAGCCATGTCGACGGCCGAAGCAAACGCACCGGCTAAGCCGCCCACAGACGAGCTGCCGCAACTCTCCACCTACACTGCCGAGACAGAGGATGATCGCATTGAGGGCTTGCGCTTGGTAGCAGATTCGGTCGCACAACAACGTCAGGTCGCAAGCAAGGTCATGCTGTTTCACCCCATTTCGCTAGCCGCTTACTTCGCTATTGTCGCCATTGCGGCTCAACTCACACTACGCTGGTACGAGGACAAACTGATGCTTCTCACGACCATTGGAGGTATCTCGATGACCTTCCTTATCTTTATTCGATGGATGACTGGTGGTTACATTGGCATGGCCGAGGAAATCAACATGGAGTGGCTGGGCGATGACAGGCTCATCGTAGTGAAGTGGGGTGAGGACGTCATTGGATCCTTGGTATTGGGTTGGGCCGATAATGATGCCGCAAAGAAACGTGGCCGGAGAAGGAGGGGCAAGGCCGTTGTGCGCGCTTGGACTGTACAGTTGAAGTATCGCGGCAAGGGCGTTGGCGAAGGTCTTCTGGAGGAAGCTGTCAAGGTTGCGGGAGAGCGAGGTGCAGATGGCATTGTCTTCGATGCTGACCATGCCAGTAAGTGCACACCTACTCATAGTCCCAGGCCACTGCTAACAGTACACCAGACTCCAAGCGCGTTCTCCCTGCCGTCTTTAATGGCTTCATCAACAAACAAGATGCCAAAGCTGAGAAGGCCCTACAAAAAGTTGCAGATGCGAAGGGCAACTTTCGCCAGCGTCAAAGCTCTCCCACCTGGGGCAGCAGGTAGACACATGCTACACATTTCATTTTGTTTAGGCCAGCAGGTGGTGTTCTGTCTTCACTTCATCGCGGCGACGAGTTTCTTTTGGAAGATACCCCATTCCTCTCGTTGATGATACCCCGAACGATCGTTATCGTTGCTAGCATCAAGTTTTCTGTACTTGCTTTTTCATGTTCCTATTTCGGCATCGAGTCCCTGTCATCATCACCATACAGACCATACATCAGAGTCATAATAGACGATACAACGGCCCTTTGTTGATAGAATACAATGACGATATCTAGCAGAATTAGTTGCATAACGCTCAACTCCGCTGCCCTGGTGACTTGCGTCCCGCCTGAAGCTGAATAGATTAATATTCACTGATATGCATTGCATACCCGACTGTTCCGCGCGACCTCCACAAACCTTGTGGTTGTAATCCGGGCTGTCCTTATCGCGGCATCCCTCTCGATCCACGAACAAGTGAGAAAACAGGCCGCATGCACTGATAACGGTGCATAACCTTTCGATATCAGCACCTTGGCGTCAGATTCCGGTTCGTTGGTAGATTTGCCCCGCGTTGCTCGCTACTGCCCCTCCATGTACAAGGGGAGATTAGGCTTTCCAGGCTTTCCGTCAAGGTTGCATGATGCATGCAAGCGGACCCGGAGACGATGGCTTAGCCCAGCGCCAATGTCTGGGTAGGTTGGCTGCTACGATGATAACGGCCCAAGCTCAACACAAGACAAATGATACCATAGGCACTATTGATTGACTGCTCCTGTTCGCTCCTTCATCGGCCTGCAAGTGCATGTGAAGCTGCGCAACAGGTTGCACGGTACCGCCCGTGTAAAGCTGCACAGGAACAGTTTCGGACTCCGAACCTGCTCGGGCTCAACGCGCGGCTGCACCAGCCTCTGTATCACCGTCAACTGAACTCGCTGGATACTCCTCGCGCAACTGCAGTATGACTTTCTGTGCCACAGTCAGTATATTTGGCGGTCGCGCAGAGCAGGCCGCGACTTCAACGCAACAGTGCGAACCGCGCGCGAGGCGATCTGCTGTTACACCTTGCTGTGCCGTACTGGGTACGTACCGCTAATGCCTCCGGGTTCGCGCCGTTTTCGATGAGCGATACGCAGTATGACAACTGCTGGCGATCAAGATGAGTATTCTAGGGCTAATGTCAGGTATCAGGCGCTTCCTTCAGGCGCAGTGTTTCGTACTAGCAATGTTGCGATTTCATGAAGAATATCGATGACTTCACGAGCGGCCTTCCGACGGGCGTCAGCTGATGATTGCTCGGCTGCTGGCATCTTTGGTGTTCGATATGATGCTTGGCCTTTTTGATTGCACAGGCGTATAACTTTAGGAGTTGTCTGTTTGTTTACGTCGCTGCGAGATTGTGTGGTGAAAGTCGCGTCTCCACACGCGCTTTCCGCACGTGAGTTCCGCACGTGATTTCTTGGCGTCTCTGCCTCTCAGGTACTCTATCGGAAAGTCGGAATCCTCGTCTCTTTGACACCAAAACATAGTTGTGACATCAGCATCATCATGACGCAGACGGTCCACTGGTGCTCAGGCGCAATAGAAGAGCTACAAAATGGAAGCTCGCGTGCTTGTTGTAGGATCTTTTTATAGCTAACACGCAGCTTCATTTGACCTCTTGAACGACTTCAAGCTTCATAGCATTTACGTTCCTCTAACTAGTCTCGTCGATTACAACTCAGATCAGACATTATGGCATCAGACCCGCACCAAGGAGGCCGTCTTGAGGACATGGCCGCAAAGGGCACTTCGATTCCTGGTGACGCTGGAAAGATGAACGTGGTAAGCTTCTACACCTGTTTCGCGGACTATATTTCAGTGTAAGGCCTGTGTACTGATAGGAGTTCAGGTCTCACCTTCTTCTCACCCAGATCAGACCCATACAAATATCGCACACGCAGCGGATAATGCGTTCGATATCCCACGCAGTGTCAACGACCGCGGACAGACAGGCGAGGTCATGACCGGCACTGGTGACCAGTTGCCATCAAGTGTGGAGAAGAAGAACCTAGACGACGCAAACTTTGACCCTAGAGCAAAGGGTCACGACCAATATGCGAAGCACGCCCGACAGGATAATCCTATGGATAGCTTGAAGCATGGTGCTGGCGACCATAATGTAGAGGCTGCACCGGGTGAAGAGGAAGAGAGTCAGGATGCGCTTCTGAACAAGAGAGGCGCGCAGTAGGTGTTGAAAGAAGCTGCAACTCTAATGTATATACTGTACGATTTCACGACCGAATAAAAGCCAAGAGGCTTGAAATTAACTCCATTACGAACACCTACTCCCAAGAGGTCTCGCCACTGTGATATGTTGCATGCTTTGAGCTTTGGATCCTGAGGCTGGAGCGCGGCTCAATTACCTATGAATACCCCGCTAGACCCCACACGTGCTTGCTAAATTCACGACCCTAGCAACTCTCTGACTTGCTATTTGACACTGGCCCTCGACATCTAGAAACATACTCTTAGCACGATGGTGTACTATTTCTCTTCCAACACTGTGTCCCCATCTGCCTTCATCTACGTGGGCAAGGACAAGGTTGAGAGTACGTGCATTTCGGTCCGCTGTTGCACTTTCAAAGGGTCAAACAGCTGCAGCTCCACATACTAACTGGGTGAACAGATGAAGAGCTTATCAAATACGGCTGGGATGAGGATGTCTGGTTCCACGCAGACAACCTGTCATCAGCACATATCTACGTCCGATTACCCGAGGGCGAAGATTGGGAGAAGATGACCAAAGAGCTGCTGGTGGACTGCGCCCAACTGACCAAGGCCAACAGTATTGAGGGTAACAAGAAAGATAACGTCACGATTGTATATACGCCTTGGAGCAACCTGAAGAAGGATGGCAGCATGGCTGTGGGCCAGGTTGGGTTCAAGGATCAGCGAAAGGTAGGCACGTCCAAGATTTGTAGAATGTTTCTTGGCTTGATGACTACTTGAATCTCAGCATACTGACATCAGATCAGGTTAAGCGCATACACGTGGAGCAGCGAGAGAATCCTATTGTCAACCGTCTTAACAAGACCAAAGTTGAAAAATTCCCCGATCTGAGAGAAGAGCGAGAAGCAAGGCGGGCTGAGTTGAGGAAACGAGACCAGGGTGCTCTGCAGGCCAAGGTATGTATGCTCTCAAGCTTTTTCCACCATTCTACTTTACGTTTCTTTTTGTCACGTAAGCTTTTATACGTCTTTTTACTCTCGTGGTCTGTCATGTCATATACAATCTCTGACGCACTATACCCCCCGTCACCCATACTCATCGGTCATCCCTCGCCCAATTGCCTCGAAAAACGGTACGAAACCGAAACTAACGGAACGTAGCGTAAGGAGGAGGCCCGTATAGCCAAGGAGCGCAAGGAGCTCGCATGGCGGAGAGATCATGCCTACGACGATGTCATGACAGAGGAGAATCTGGAGGAGAACACCAACGAGAACCGCGATGAAAACTTCCTCGATGACTTCATGTAAGCGCCTTGTCGTATCTGTGCGTCCCGCATACCACGGGGTGCGACAATGGCTGTATCGGAATGATCTCAGCCTAGTGGGGTCGCCTCAACTGGGATCGCGAACAGTCATGGCTGGAAGGCATAGTCCCATGCTCTCGTTTAGCATGCGGATGTTGTGATTGAAAGTGTCGTACACGGTGGTCTTAATCTCGATCTCGTCGCGCGTTCTGGGAAGCGTCAGCTACGCGGCATTGAAGATGGAGCAGAACAGGCTGGCTGCGTACAGGTTTTTTGGGATATGCTTTAAGCGACCTCCGGTGTCTTGTACATGCCATACGAACATCAGGTTTTTCACTATCTTGTGTTCCAAGCCACTCTCTTTGGTCGCATACTGCAGGAATTCGAGCGTGTTGCGGATTCTCTGTGGCTCATAGTCGGCAGCGGACCCCTTGCGAAAGGCTAAGCGAATGCGGTCGCGCAATGTATACCGAGCCGGCTTCGAGAACTGGATGGCCCTCAGACTATGCCGGTACAGGTGTCTATACGCGTGAACGATTGCTTGTTGCGACATGTTCGAGTATGGCGATTGCGATCAGTCTCAGGCCTCGGATCATGCGGTGCCGGAGAAAGGTATCGCCGGCGTTGATTACCGCCGCCCATGTTCCAACCTCGCCCACTCTCCTCACTCACCAACACGTACAACCCAACACTCCGCCTGTGCCTCTGCATCGACTGGGGTTTGTAGACACGCAATCTGGATTCGTTCTGGACAATTGCACGCCATCGTGACTGCTACGCTTGCCGTATTAATCACTAATCACGCCGCATCAAGGCCACATAGGGTGCTCCGTCATCCAGTAGCGCCACATTGCCCTGATCCGCTGTGGGATCTATGCAAATCATTTGAAAACCACCGCCATGACCAGAGTATATCATGCGCGTCCGCAACAGGCGCCGCAGCGCAGCGGTACGCTTGACCAGTCGCGCGCCGCTGTCAAGAAGAAGAAGCCCTACAAGATCTTATTAGAGGCGGTAACACAAGAGAAGAAAAAGCTACATTCCATTGTCCGTCGACGACACGGTTCAATCGTCCTGCAACACCACTAACTGTAGAATAGCTAACATACGCGTCCAACGCCCCCACTGGCTTCGGCTTCATCCCAGCCGGTCACCCAGAGTTCACCGAGTGGTGCAAAGAACAGTGTCGACAGCGCAACCTTGATGTGCATGTTGTCTCTGTGAGTGTCTCGCTTCCCTCAAGCCAATTGGCCGTTTACTAACAACCTCGCAGGCCAAGCCGAAGAACAAAACCCACTCCGACCCCGAGAAGTTATCCCATCACGTCCATCGAGTCGGACACCATTTTCCTATCCACATCATCGAGCTTGCATGCAGCAAATTCGGGTACATCTATGATGAGAGACGCGGTCTGCGAAAAGACAAAGAAGGCGAGAGGACTAACTGGATTGCCCAAGAGTTTGAAGACTATTCTTCGCGACAAGTACAGCACGGCCATCCCGCTACTGAAAAGGAGACCAAGGGTTATATTCATAACGCCGTTCGAGAGATGTTTCCCAAGATTCCAGAGGCGGATCTGCAAGCCATTGTTTCGCATGCATTCGAGGAAGGGACAAACCGGGTAGGTAATGCCAAGGAACTTTCGTTGGCTCGTAGAGTGCAACTCGCCGTTGTAGCGCACATCCGTCACACATATACAGACTATGATAAGCTTCTCAAGACCGATGGCTGGTCGGAAGCCCGCAGCCAGGTCGAGAAGGTTTCTCTTGCAAAACTCAAAGAGTGGCGAGACGAAGATGGCAAGCAGAGCGACGAGCTTGAAGAAACCTTTCGCGAAGTCATTGTTCTTGATGATGATGACGATGCAAGCAGCGATGAGTCTATGTCTACGCCCGACGAGCGGGAGCAAAGCATGGAAATTGTATCCAGTCGTGCTACTGCGCGAGATTTACAGCCCGAGTCACATGCTGACTACCTGCGTGTGGATGCACATGATATGAGGCGAGCACCAAGGAGAACCATTGTCCTTTCGCGCTACCCTCCACCTCCACAGGCTGCTGGTTCGTCTGGCCCTTTGCATTCCCAGTCGCAGCAGCCTTTCCAACCAGCTCGAACAAGGACCATCGACCCGTAAGTGCAGACGACAGCTAACACCCGAATCCGTACTCACAATTATAGACGAGCGAGACCAGCCGAGACTGGTCAGAACCTGAAAAGTGCGCAGCCGATCGTCCGTGAGATCAACGGCCAACTGTACCAAGTGAGTGTTCGAAAGTCAAGCTCCACAAGCAGGAGACAATGGTATCCCAATTTCCGCCCTTTTCCCAAGCTAACACACATAGCTCCAACCTATCAAAGAAACTCGTGGTGCTCCAAGGTCACAGTATGATCCTCCCATGCACGCAGCGCCGCGCCGCGTGCAAGAAGGTTATGTTCAGCCTCCATCACCTCGTCACAGTGCTTTTGACAGACCACCAGCGCACATAAGGCGCCCATCGGACCAAGATGTTGTGCTGCCTTCTGTTGAACCTGAAACAGTTGATTTGACATCTCCACATCGTGTTGTGGCGTCTCAGCACCCTGTCCGACACTACAATGCGAATGCCGCCAGGCCATACAATGAGGTGCCGTCACCAAAGCGAAAAGCACTCCCTTCTTTTGCAAATGGCAGCGAGCATCATGCCGAACCATATACCAAGCGCTTAAGGCCTGTATATCGTGAGGACGTGCACTCTCTGAACTACTATGATGGCCCAGCGGAGTTTCATTCGAGCAAGCGTATGGCGCCCAGCAATGGGCTAAGGGCACCGCCCAGGGAGCAAGTTGTTGATCTAACCACCAGTTCTTACCATATGCCTACTAACGGCGGCAGAGGCTACGATGTACCTCCACGCTCATTTGCGGCGGCTGATCCTTGTGGACATGCATATGCTCCTGGACCACCTCACCGAATGTCTGTGCATGAGATGAGGGGTGCACAGTATGATGTTCCCACTGTTCAGCCATCTCGTGCTTACATGCCTGACAACAGGGTGTATGAGAGACGCGCTCCTCCAAACCATGACTACATTCCCTTCCGAGAAGACCAGCAGCCACGTCGTCTTGAGGAAGAGAGTGCGCGGTACTTGAGAAGTGGTGTACGATATGGTGGTTGAGTCGTTTGACATGCATCAGTAGCAGGATGGGCGGAGTTTTATGGCTTTCCTACGGACGATACCCCTTTCCTTCCTTTTTGTCGCGCATTCCGGAGCCCTGCATATTGGAGACTACCCGTTTCCTGTCACTTGGACTTTTCATTTCGCACGACTCGTTAGCGACCTCAGCGTCTTGTTATTCTGCGTTACCAGGTGGATCATGCCCATTGCAGAGCATTATCGATCGATTATCGTACGCCAGTATGACCTTGCAAGACACATGCCGGTCATGAATGGTTCGCCAACAATTGCACAGTCGAAGCTATGTCTTGGATTAAAACGAAATCATGTATAGATAGCACGAAGGCACAAGAGTGTCTGTAAAAGAAACGACGTTACGTAACTATTGCTTGTCTTCAACTGAGTGAATTCCCACATGTATCTACATGGTCACCTAATCTTTGCAATTACTTGTGCATTTGCGCATACTTCTCCATGACGCGTTCAACCACTTTCTTCACCTCTGTAGCATCCAATTTCTCCTTGCGGTCAGGAGTGTACACTCCATTGACCTCTTGCTCAATGTCTGTAAGCTGTGTGTACACAAATCCACAGCAATGCCCTCCATCGACGATTCCCGTCATCATTTTTTCGATGCGCTTGAGCAGGTCCTTGGGGTCAGTAGCAGTGGTGTAGCCCCAGTCCCTCGTCCTATCCTCTTCTCCACCCGCAGCCGCTCGTGCGATATTTACTCCACCAAACTCTGTGCATATAACTGGTGCACCAGGGGTGTGTTTGGACCCTGGATCGCAAAGGCTTTCAATGGGTGCAAGGAACGTTGGTCGATTTGATTGCTTCTTCATGATACCCTCCAAGGTCGAGCAAGTCTTGGTAAGCTCGTCCGCATCAGCGTAATCGTGAAACGTAGTCAGATCCGTCATGACATGCTCCCAGCCACAGTTGTCATTGATGGGTCGAGTCGAGTCCAGCACCTTGGTCGCATAGTACAGACTCCTGATGTGATCCCTCTGCTGCTTGCTTGTATGCAGATCAGTGTACGCCCACGACTCGTTGACTGGCGTCCAAGCGACTACACAAGGGTGATTGCGATCCCGCAGGACCGCTTCCCGCCATTCTTGATCCATGCGCTCTACATAGGCTTCGGAGAATGCGTATGCGTTTGCCATTTCGCCCCAGACCAATAAACCAAGGCGGTCGGCCCAGTAGTGGAACAATGGGTCTTCGACTTTTTGGTGCTTGCGGCATCCATTAAAACCCATCTTCTTGGTCAATTCGATATCTAGCTTCAGTGCGTAGGAGGATGGAGGTGTCATGAAAGTTTCAGGCCAATAGCCTTGGTCGAGGAAGAGCGCTTGGAAGTAGGGGCGGTTGTTAAGGCGGAAGGTAGAGTTGTCCCAGTGCAGGGAGCGCATGCCAGCTGTTGTGTGGACTTTATCAATGATCCTGTCTTCGCTGTCGTACAAACGGATGGTAAGGTCGTAGAGTGTTGGGTGCTCCGGAGACCAGAGGGCTAGGTTGTTGAGCCATGCTGTCGGGTCGGAAAGTGGAGCGGTAGATATAAGGCTTGCCGGCAGTTGTGAAGCCTGTGATTCAGATAGCCGCATGTTGGTATTCAGTGACGCGGTGTCTGAGTCCCGTGGCAAGTCAATCTTCCCTGTCTTGCTGACGGATACGCCTGCTAGGCTAGCTTCGAGCTCTACACTATACGCATGCCCAGCAGGCCGTCCAAGGATCTTGATACTGGCTTCCAGCTTGCCACTCTCGATTTCGTTACTCTTGAATAGCGTGCCTGTACTTGCATCTCCAATCGCCACCACAGGCACTGACTCAAGCCACACGCTTTGCCAGATGCCGCCGCTGGGTGTGTAGAAGATACTCTCCGGCTGAGCTTTCCAATACTGCTTTCCACGCGGCTGTGTCAAGTCGTGCGCAGAATCGAACACCCGAATGGTGAGTCTCTGAGTCTTCTCCGTCGTAAATGCATCGGTGATATCAATGTCAAAAGGGACATGTCCGCCACGATGACCACCAAAGAAGCGCCCATTGAGCCAGACCTTGGCTTCGTAGTCGACAGCTCCAAATCTCAGCAACACACGATTGCCAGCTGCCTTCTCTCCTGTGGTTCTCAAATCCTCTACAACCCTCTCGTACCACAACACCTCATGCACACCTTTCTCTTCGATCCCAGAGGCAGGACACTGGAAAACGTACGGTACCTGGATACTTCTCTTCTGATGCACAGTATGATCGTTCTTGAACTGATTCCCCTGTAATAACTCTTGAGTTCCAGCAGCGATCTTGGCCGTAATACTATGGGCTTCGGTGTTTTCGGTGCTATTTGTGTTGGTGGGGTTGACGGTGATTTTATCTGGGAGATTGGTCAAATGCCATCCTTGGTTTAATCCAACATCGTTGTCGTCGAAGAGGAAAGACCAGGGGCCGTTGAGAGATGTCCATGTTAGGTCTTCGCGAAGGAAGTCTGGTCTGGGGTAGGAAGGTGGGGTTGTGATTGGCATGTTGGTTCTGCGGTTTCTTGGATGGTGTGGACAGTTGTAGGAAGATGAAACGCTGGTTAGATTGAAGACGTGTTATAAAAGTTAGCATTCACGTGAACCTGATGCAGTGAGGTGGAGGTGTGGAGAGATAGACTGGGTCGAGTGAGCACCAAGCT